TTTCGGCCATTATTTGCAAAATCGGGTTTCAGAATTAAACCATTTTCAAATCTTTATGTTATCTTCTTCCTTTTTTTTTTTTAATTTATCTTTTAAATTAAATAATGTGTTTTGTCTAACAATCATAATTTAATTACAAAGCCTTATCTTTATCCATCCAATTTCTTTTCCAACTAAAAATCACTATGGAAGCTATGCGTAATTTAAAAACTAATGTTTATGCATTCTATTTTAACTCAAATCAAGATCAAATAAACTAAGTATATTTCGTATACGTTTCTTGAATGATAAAGATTCATAATTAATTGACATTAAATGAAAGGATAATATTCGATACATCTTTTTTACATGAGATCAATATTTAAAGATTTGTCAATGATATGATTATGACGTAGATTTAGGCCAAACTCCCCCTTTTTTCTTAAGCAAAAACTTTAGATTAAACACCTACGAAATAAAAACAATTACCTTAAAAGAAATATTTATACATTTTATTTTACCAATTATATATTTTTATCTTTAAATAAATAAAAGAGAAGGGTGTGATCTTTTTTCCAGATAATCACAGGAAAATAGAAAGGTCTCCCAATATCTAGGTTTCCTTGTTTTTCAACAAATTACGCTCAATCGTATTTTTTCTTCTCGCAATTTTGGTAGTTAGTAGTGGAATCGATAGGAGTAGACCCAAATGATTCACTGAATCGGGACATATCTGAACCCTGACAAAATCACGAGTTTAATTTCCTCAGAAAAGGATTCAATCCGTTTCTCACCTGTGATCACATTTATTGTATTAATAGTCTTCTAATTCAAATCAATCCATGAGTTATCAGTTACTCGGAACCACCGATTCAACAACGATGGTTTCCGAATCAGATGCAACTCTTCCGTTGTCGTCGTCGCTGGATTTCGTGACCAATGGAAGTCTTGATTTCAAAGGCAGAGTCGCAAATAAACGGAAAACCGGTGGATGGAAAGCTACTCCGTTCATCATCGGTACCTTTTTTAAACTTCTGCATACACTTAGAACTGCAATTGAAGATTTGAAGCTCATCTACTATCTCATCAATTCATCATCGTGTTAATACATCGGTTTAAGTATCGTTGACCATATTTTTTGTAGCGAATGAGGCGGCGGAGAGGCTGTCAGCGTTTACAGTGTCGGCGAGTCTGGTGTTGTATTTAACGAAGGAGATGAAGGAATCGCTTCCAGATGCAGCCACACATGTGAGTGATTGGGTGGGAGCGACGTATCTTCTTATGCTTCTCGGCGCTTTCATCGCCGATGCTTATTTGGGCCGTTACCTCACCGTTATCTTCTCATCCGCCGTTTACCTCGTGGTATAATGTGCCCTTCCTGTTTTCATTTTTCGCAATTACCCCCCAAATAACTGCCAACATTTTTTTATATCAATGGAAAAGTTTGATCATAGCCATAGCCTGTTTTAATTAGTTGTAGTAAGTTGTACAGTGTTACTATTTTACCAGGGAATGATACTCCTGACGATTTCGGCATCCGTGGACAGCCTCCGCCCGAAACCGTGCACGGAAACATCAAACTGCCCGACAGCCACCCCAGGGCAATCCGCGTTCCTCTACTCTGCCCTAGCCCTAGTAGCCCTAGGCACCGGTGGTGTCAAACCAAATGTCCCATCATTCGGTGCTGACCAACACGACGAAAATGATGAGAAGGAACTCTCATACAAATACACTTTTTTCAACTTCTTTTTTCTTTCAATCAAAGTGGGAGCTTTATTAGGGCTCACAGTTATGGTGTATATAGAACAGGAGAAAGGGTACGCTTGGGGTTTTGGGCTTCCAACTGCTATCATGTTTGCATCCGTGGTGATTTTAGCAGCCGGGTTTCCAATGTATCGGTATAAAAAACCAATGGGGAGTGTCTTCACTAGATTTATTCAAGTTCTTGTGGTTTCCGTAAGAAATCATTTTAGAGGTGTTCAAGTGGGCCCCGAAACTAAGCTTTTTGAAGTTGCTACCGAAGAATCGGATATCGTTGGCGCAAGAAAACTCTCTCATACTCCTCAGTACAGGTACTACTTGTACTTTTATTACATTACCTAATATGTTTCTGCAAAACGGATTACTAAACCTTTTTGCATAAACCCTGAGCTGAAATGACATAATAAAATTCTTTTCTTTTTGAAAAGAATTTAAGAATACTTTTTTTTTTTTTTCTTTTCTTTTTGAAATGACATAATAAAATTCTTTGGTTTTCAGATTTTTGGACAAAGCAGCGGTAATGGAAGACCCCGAACTGCTAGACGTATCGGACCGATGGAAACTATGCAGCGTAACACAAATCGAAGAATTAAAAACATTTTTACGAGTGTTCCCGGTTTGGGCCTCAACAATAGCCCTCTCCCTCTCTTTAGCCCAACAATCAACCTTCTTCCTAGCCCAATCCAAAATCCTAAACCGCCAACTCACCCCAAACTTCACCATCCCACCGGGGTCCATGCAAGTGTTTGCAGTCGTAAACGCGTTCATCACGGTTCCAATTTACGAAAAATTCATCGTCCCAATCCTCCAAAAACGAACCAACCACCACCGCGGCTTCACCGCCCTCCAACGAATGGGAATCGGTCTCTTCATCTCCATTTTTGCATTGTCCGCGGCCGCAGTGGTCGAACGCATGCGTAGGACCCACGCGGACCCTGCGGGACTGACAGTGTTCTGGTTAGTCCCGCAGTTTTTTATACTGGGTGGGGCGGAGTCTTTTACTTACGTGGGACAGTTGGAGTTTTTTTATGATGAGGCTACGGATGGGATGAAGAGTGTTTGTGGGGCGTTGTTTTTGAGTGAGATTGGGATTGGGAGTTGGGTGAATAGCGCGCTTGTGAAGATTGTGGAGGGGGTGACGGGGACTGGGGGAGGGGGGTGGTTGAGAGATGATTTGGATGAGAGTAAGCTTGATTATTATTATGCCATGTTGGCGGGGATTAGTGCGGTTAATTTGTTTGTTTATGTGTGGGTAGCTCGAAGGTATAAGGGTCGACACCAAGGTTAGATGTGGCTTATAAGTTATAGATAGGGAAAATTTTAGCTGTAATTAGTGTTTGTTTATTATAGCTTTCTCTTTTCATTTTTTTTTTTTTCCATTATAGCATCCTACTTATGGTTTGTTTTTTATAGCATTTTACTTTCATTTCAAGTGAGAGAATGCCAGGTTTCATGTTTTTCAAGTAATAGGAGGATACTTATTGTAATGGTTTCATGTTTGTAATTTTGCAATATTGGATATAATCATTTCAAAGCAACATGAAACACCACGTGCATGATGTTGTTCCTAGTTATTGCTGACAACATTTTTAGACTGTATGTTCTTTCATTTAGTCTATTAATAATAAAAGTTCCCTTCAACATTTTACACTTCAAAGCCGGTGATGTTTGGCCTGGTCTAACTCGAAAGCTCAGGCCCAATGTTCACCTCTAACCTAAACTATCGAATTTTATAATGATCTCTAAAATGAAAAATCTAAATGGGCACAAACTACTTCAAGTATGTTTTGTGGAATTTGCAGATCTAGATTTGTTGGCGTGATGGAAAGATAAGGAGCCTAAGTATCCGATTTTGCCAGCAATGGTTTGTAATTTACTTAGGTAATTATGGAATTGGTTTATTTTATTAGTGGCAGAGTGGTAATGTTTAGACAAGAAAACTTACACTGTAATCGGTCGACATGTGTATGTGCCTAAAAGATGACATAGATAGAGTGAAATGAGTACACATCTTGTAACACATGAGTGTCCCGGTAAGAAGATGGAATACATTGAATATAATACTTGAACTGGAGATCGTTCAAGGTTTGTCAAGTTCCCCTGCCTTGTACCGATTATCTCGATCAAAAAAATAACATTTTACTATGTTTTTTAATGAAAACAACAATATATTTTGACTTTTTAGAAAAAAAAAAAACAACTAACTTTGACTTTCGATCAAAAAATAGCATTGTAATGTGACTTTCAATAAAGAAAAAACAACAAAATACTTTGGTTCAGTCCATCGTTGTCCTAGAATCTATTTACCAGACACCAAAATCAAACTGCTTACAAATGCATACATTTAGTTTGGTTTTCAATCTAAAGGTTGAGCTCTAATAAATCGGGACTACCTTGATCTAGAACTAACCCCTAAGCCCTAACCCAGACATATGCCAATGAGCGGCTTGGTATGGCCACTTGAGGCAAAAACCCAACTAGCACGTATTGGTCCAACATATGTACATCTCTATATTTAAGTGAGATAGAAGTTACAATTTTTGTGTCAATAGTGTAAGATATATATGGAATCCAATGTTGTTTCTTTAAAAGTGTTTTTTGTGGAGACTCCAACATATATAGATTAAGACATAAGGTAACTTGTCGCACCAATGTTGGGATATACTAACATTCCTCACCAGAGATGGAGGCTCGATGAGATCAAACAATGATATTTAAGCGATCGTGGTGCAAAGGTCGACTCTTATACAATGTTAGAGAGAATGAGACTCCAACATATATAAACATAAAAAACCATGTCGCACCGATATAAGATACACTAACACTCCTAGACGGAGGGTCAATGAGAATAATTTGGAATGTGTTAAGGCATGAGGGTGGAGACATCGACTTTTATACTATGTAAAATTTATGAGTCCAAAACTGTCCCTCCAAAAGATCTCCTATGAAAATAATGAAAACTCCAACATATATAAAAAGACATATGCGATTCCAACATATATAAAAATAAAAGAGATCATAAATATCGTGTAATGTAAGATACATTAAACAATGCACTTAGTTTATTCTCCAAAAGAACCCTAATAGAAAGATGAAAGACTTCAACATATATAAACATAAATGACCGTATTGCAACGATACAGTATACCGTATATATAGTATACCGTATATACTAACACTTAACTTACTCTCCAAAAGAGTCATTATGGGAAAATATAAGCTTCCAACATATATAGACAAAAAATTGTGTCGCATCGATGTATATGATATACTAACACTAAGAACTCCATATATATTTTACATCGTATCAAAGACACACATAGCTTGACACTTTCCATTTTATAGTTTATTTTCACTAAGCCTCCATCCACATAGAAGTGTTAGTGTATCATATATAAGTAGCAATATATTACATAAGGGCTATTTTAAATAAACAATCATGAACTCCAAATATATCTTACAAGAAGCAATCACTATTCTAAGTAGGATACATGTTATCAAACACTGTGAGGCACTTGACTTCACATTTGTAACTTCCAAATCAAAAGATGTCTTCATAAAACTAGTTGTGCATGCAAACAATCGAATAAAGCCCAGACATTCAATTAATGGTTCGGTTTCCATAAACGAGAGCTTTATGTTCAACAACCGAAAGACACCAAAACCAGGATTGCACAAACAATTCAAGATCATATATGCAAAAGCATGTAGCAATATATGTCTCTTTCATTTCTTGCACGATATAAGACTTGTTACAAGTTTGGTTTCAGTTAGAACAAAGAAAAAGTCTGTTTGGATCCCCATTGGTTTATTTATGAGTTTATTCAGCATCTGCATCCTCAATGGATTTCTTATACTCTGGCTTCAGCTCATACGTTCCTTGATTGGTTCCCCGTTTATTGTACACACACAAATCGTTCAATATCTCTTTCAAGAATTGCTGCATTCAACATTAAACCATAACCCATATTAATTTTTTTAAAATAAAAACAACGTGAAAAAGTAATGTACATACAGCTGGCTGATCTGTCTCTATGACCAACTGTTTTAAAGCCCAATTAGGCTGTCTTTCAAAAAGCTTAAACATGATATCTTCAAGTTCTCCACGATCCCTTCTTGTTCTCTTAACTTCTGGCCCTTTCACTGGAGCAGTAGCCTTCTTCTTTTCCTGATTGTCAGATGATTAAGGCTTAAATGCAAGAAATACACAAATACATACAAAGAACATTGATGATATGTTACCTTAGAATTAGTAGAAATCAAGCCAATCATTCCAGGCATAGGCCTCATATGCATACCTCGGTCATTATCAATCACCTATTCAGCAAACAAAAGAGACATCATGTTGTATCTGAATTTCAAAGATTGATTAAAATAAAAAGATAGGATCTATAATTCTATACAAACCTGTATCTGTCTATTCTTAACCATTGATTTATTTGTTCTTTCACGACACATCTTTCTGTATTCCTCCATGTTCTTGTTATGGGGTTTCATGTCAAACTTATGCTCAACTTTCCCTTCCATAGCAACCTTCCCTGAAACACACTCACAGTCACAGATGCATTACTTCCATAATTAAGAATCCAGATCAAATTGGAAGAATTGAGAATCTAATTCTAATAGGGAAAAAGAATTAAGAAGCTTTTCTTACCTTGGTTTGCTTCAGAAAAAATGCACATAGGAACAAAATCCTTGAACATATTTAAAGAATAGCTCTTTGGCACATTTGCAATCTCACCACCAGCCATCTCCATTGAGAACTGATTGTGGAAACCAAACATATAAAAGATTAAGTCATAGGCTTTCAATAAACCACAAAGGTCAAAAAATTGTTAATAAAAACAGCTAACACTTTCTACAAATAATGCCCTCAATCTTTCTAACCCTTTTTGCTACCAGTTACCATGATCATACAATTAAGCATCCACTTGATTGCTTGAGAAACCAACTGAGACTGAAGTACCTTAGTGCCATTAAATGCGAGGTGCATAATAAACAAGTAATCTTCTTGCAATGGGAAAATCAATTTGGTCAATTCGATTCTTGAGGCCAGATGCACCAAGCTTTCAAAGCACAGTTACCAAAAACGAAAGCAATACACAAAACTAGGGTTTCAATGGTACAACAGTAAATCATGCACATACCTGTACAAAGTAACACAAATTGAACAAGCCAAACTCCATTACTTTACTAAATTAAACATCTAATTCCGAACGGATTACAACAAAGCATAAACCGAGAAACTAATGATCAATCATCGAAGACCGATCAAAACAAAACGGCAACCAAATGTTGATAAACTTAATACATACCTGAAGCGAAGACGGATCTTCGGGATGGAGAGGATCGAGAGAAACGACGACCTTAGAGAGGTTTTGTTGAGAATCGGGCGGAATAGCTTGCCATGATTTAGCCACAACGAGGGGGCACTTCATCAGCCACACCGATCGGTCTGCTCGTGCAGTTTCCAGGTTTGTGTTCTGATCGTCCTCCATTGATTTAGATAGTATTTTCTTTCGCTCTTGTTCGTGAGTCAAGGTTTCTCTCTCTAGAGTCTTGAAGTCTGCCTGTATTTGATATCTCCCTGAACTCTGAGTCTTGAAGGATATCTACAAAGTACAAACCCCCGTAATGTCGGCACGGACTTTGGGAAGCCTTCTGTCCCTCAAGAAAGTGTTACGACTTACGACTATAAAATGTAAATCTTTTCTATAAATACAAGTGAATATTGATCCACTATTATAAATCTGATAAGACTAAAATAGGTATAAAATATTTGGAGATTGGTTGGTTGAATATATGTATATATTTTTTAAAATACTTATCTATTTTTTTTTTAAGAAATAATATATTTTTTTGTTTAAATTAATTATTATCGTACAAATAGTACAAAGAATGAGACGACAAAGGGACAAGTTGCACTGCAAACATAATTAAATAAGTAAAATACTTTTAAATCTATATTGGATTTTTTGGTTGTATTTTGAAGAATAGTGTGTTCACAAAATATGCAAAGTAAAAAAATTGTTAATCCGTTTGTTGCGTCTTTCATGATCGACATATAGTTCGTGACTTTAACACCCTGCTCCCGAGTTTGTTTATTAAAGGAAAGAAAAGAAAAGAAAGGAAGAACAACGAGAGAAAAGAAAAGAAAGGGAACGGAAATAATAATAATATAAAGTAAATTGTAAAAAGGAAAACCGCATGTTATTCAATTGTTTTCAAGATGCAAAACGAAAACCACAAACAACTCAAAAAAAAATCATAAACGCATTAGATCAATCCAGTAACAATCACCCAAGGTTATTCAATCACGTGCACCCGTCATATCTTTGAGGACACCCATCCGTATCTGAAGGGGACAACTGGATAATTTCCTAGCTTTTGCTTGATTTGTTGCCAAAAAATTTAGAGCCCTCGGTAATTCATGGGGTTCCAAACCCACTAACTCCAATTCTCTATAAATTTCTTCCCCTGTATATTCCCGAGGATAAGTTCTATCAAAAATTATATTACCCTCCCTGATAGCACCAACCACATTATCAGCCGATTTCGTTATCTTTGAGTTAATATCTTCTTCTTCTTCGTCGTCTTCAAATTTCTTCTTTTTACTTTTACACTTCTTTGCACCCAAAGACTATTCTTGTGAAAAAAGAGGTGGAATAACATCCTGAATGTCATCATCAAGATCAACATATTCGTTCTCTAAATGAATTTCATTGTTAGCTAACATGTCATCAACTTCTTTAATTGTTTCAACTTGAATATTTTCATTTTCATTTAATCGGGCATTTCTTTCCTTCGTTGTTTTAGCATGTGCACCAGATGCCCTATCCCTTGCAAATAATACCAACATCTCATCGAAGTATGCAATCTTTTTTGTCCTTAATGATGCAGCCTCAGGTTTTGACTGTTTAACACCACAAAAATAATTAATATTGCAAACGATAACATAAAATATTTAAAAAAAATAACATAGAAATAAAAAAAGAACACTTACTTTTATTAAATTATCTCATACTTCTTCCTCCGCTTCTATTAGTTGCGTAGACGAATTCCAAGAGAATCAGCTCAATGAAATTGCCCTAAACAGATCGTACCATTGCGAAAAATGTTTTTTTAAGTTTTTGTAGCGATTCTTCAAATGATTTTTGGTAATATCCATTTGATGCTTTGTGTTCAACTCCTCAACCATTTGAGCATATGCATTTGGTGTGAAACTACCATTCACCCTATTGCCCGTCTCTTGTTGTTTAATCATCGCTTGGATGTACGCATAATCCATTTTATCTGACTATTTAACTTGTTCCTTTTCACTACCACTAGCTTCCTGTTTGATCATGATGACTTTGCACATAGGAATAAAAATTAAAGAATGTTAGATTGTTAGACCACAATATGAAGCATAATACTAATCAAAAATATGAAGGGTAAATAACATAATTAATCTCAAAAACCAATCATCAATACAATGTGAAATTGAAAACAAAATGTATCAAAATGAAACTAGTTTTACATATTAATTTAATTGTTTGAATGTGTCAAATAATTTGCCCACATTTCATTTGCAATTGAATTCCTTAGTTGCTCTACCATTATATTACCCTCATCTGTTTCAATTGAATTACGACGATCTTGCTCTTGTGGTCCGTTTAAGATCTCCTGCGTCACCTCATCTTCAAGATTTATGTCGCGGTCTCCATCTAATAAAAAGTTGTGTAGAATACAACATGCCAAAAATATGGCAGATTGTGTTTCACAAGAGTAAAATGGTTTTGTTGTACTTCGAATGATAGGAAACCTTCTTTTAAGGACACCAAAAGCTCGCTCAATGGTGTTACGTAAGGAAGCATGACGAAGGTTAAACAACTCTTTAGAATTTTGTGGACCACGCATGGAGTACTCTTTTAAATGATATCTAACACCTCTATATGGCGCCATTAGTTTATTCTTATGAGGCAAACCCCCATCTACTAAATAGTATTTACCTATAAAGAGCTTAATCAATATTATTGAAAAATATTAGATATTGAAATTACATTGGTTTAATAAATTACCTGATGGAATTAGTAGTTTGTCATTTCTAGTAAATGCATTCTTTATTATTCTCGAGTCGAATGCAGTACCCTCCCAACCCGTTAACACATACATAAACTTCAAATCAAATGTACAAGAAGCTAATACATTTATTGTCGGGTATCCCTTACGACCACGGTATCTAGGGGCATCTCTATTAGGCCCATGGACACGAACATGTGTTCCATTTATTGCCCCTATACAATCCTTGAAAAAAGGATAAAATCTCCTACTTTCTTGAATTTCTCTCGGGACAACATCACCTGTAGGTTGCTGAATATAAAGACCTTCTATTGCTATAATCGATCGTAATACTCTATGGAAGCACCTACTCGTTGTTGATCTAGAGCGACGATACATCCACGAGGTAAACCGAGTTCGCAAATCATTACTTACAATATGCAAAAATCTAGCAACATGTTCCTCAACGGACATGCGTTGCGTACGTCGTAGACCACCTACAGTTTGTAAGATTTCACACAATCTCCTAAAAGCGTTTTCACTCATACGAATAAGGTCACGACATTGACTACCTTCTAAAAGATTGTGTAGCAACTCTTCCCGTACATCTTGTCTTTCTAAAATAACTTTTCTAGTGGGTAACCTAACCCGCTTTTGTTGGCCATATTACGTTGTGTAATATAGTCAACAACAAGCAAATCAAGTTAACGACTTGCAATTGTCGAGCTCTTAAAGCATGAGTAGGGTTGAGTACCGGAGTATCGATAAGGACTATATATGAAATAATCCCTTTTTCTGATACATGATCAAATATTTTGAGTTAAATTAAAACAACATTGATAAAAATAACATGTAATTATAAAGAGTTGATTTATTAATTATAATTAATAAACTTTATTTTGTTATAAAAGTTAAATGTAATCCAGGGGCAAAACAGTCATGTTGATTAATTGAATGTAATTCAAGGGGAAAACAGTCATTCTGATAAAAATAACATGTAATTAGCTTCAATTAGAGAATATTTATTAAGACCCCATTAATACAAACTTTTTTCTAAAGTGAGATTATTTATTAAGACCCTATTGATACAAACTTAATGCTTTAAAATTATTCATACTTATAGGATACATGTAGTAATGAATGATTATGGATATAAAACTTGTGACAACTACAAATACCAAACAATTCACAAGGATAATAAGATCTACAAGAATATGGGACCACTTTTTTCCTGATTATGGATATAAAACTTGTGACAACCATTGATAACTTGTTATTTCTAAATGTGACATTGATATAACAAATCTGATTACATCATCTTTAAAGTTGGGGCATTAACAATCAAAACAGTGTATCACTATTGTTATGTTTTGGAACACATGGTCAAACTTTATCTTACATGGTGATACCAAATACACATCGAGTAGAAAACAAGTAAAATATACCAAATTGCACTATGACACTATCTAAAGTAAATTAGATCAGTTTTACCTGAACCTTTTTGAAACTCAAATTACTAAACCCCGACTGCTTAAAATTATGTCATCATCTTGGAATACAGATTAGATAACATGATAGTCTCTTTGAAACACAGGTAGAATAGAAGACAGAAGAATAACAAAAAAATAAGAAGAAGAAGAAATTGGGTACCTGTGTTTGTAACAGAGAAGAAGACGAGGCAAAAAGCTGAACAATCAGGTAGAATGAGGGAAGATATCCTTTTATTATTAGGCTAAAGGGTATTTTGGTCATAATCTAACCTTTTATCTTCCAGGCGTTTTCTTTCTCTTCAATTCCGCCCATTTTGGGAGGAAAGTTTGGAACGGTACAAATCCTCCCAAATCTGTTCTCTTTATCTCTTCTCTTCAAAAAAAAAAAAAAAAAAAAAAAAAACTAGGGAGCACCCAATCTTCTCTTCTCACTTCTGTTCTCTTCTTTCGTTAAGTGATACTCAGGAGCAGGGTGTAAATCTTCAATGCTCAGAGCTATGTCAATTTTGATTAACAAAAACTGCACGAGTTCTATGGACAAACTATGATATCTTCTAAATATATTTAGAAATACTCTATGTTTTAAATCCTAAAATTAATTGTATCAAGATATAGTATCAATTCATATCTTGCAAAATTTATAATGTGCCACGTTTTTACGTCATATAAAGAATGTAGTCATATAAAGAAAATGGAAGAGTTGAGCGTTGCTTAAACTAAAAGTATCATTCATAGGCCAAATCACTTTTGTTTGTTTGTACAATGTGGTGATGTTTCTAGCATGTTCCGTAGAGGCTCCATGAATGTCCATATATTTACGGAACACCCTCAAGCATAGTTGCTAAGATCCGATCTTAACCTTAAGATCCTACAAGGCTACAAGCGAAAAACGATCTTAATCATGTTAGTATCTATCTAAAGCAAGATATATATAGAGATCTTAAAATCCCGACTAGGATATTAAGTTCTTAACCCAATCAGATCCTACATCTTTAGTTTTCATTATATTTTAGAGTCAAAATTTCATCCATACAACTTGAAAATCGAGCATTGTGTGTCACAGGATGAAAAGTCTCATTGAGCATCACCATTTCATCCATTTATCTTGAATTAGTCTGAATATCATGACACTAGTGATATTCTCTTTATGATATTATGGCTTTAGTTATATATGATTACAATTATTTGTTTTTTTTTTTTTTTTTTTTTTTTTTATATTTTCTTCTTAATTTTTGCAGTAGGACAAAAATTATGGTTAATGCCTAAAAAAGTAAAGTTAATTCTAATATCGATGTTTTAATCAATAGCAAATTGTAATGAGTACTACACAAATAAATATGAAGACTAGTTTATTTTGGCATGATATTATGAATCGTTTCGATCTTACTGTCACCATCTTGTAAAATGCAAAACGGTCTTAGGTAATAATCCGATCTTAACAACCTTGCCCTCAAGTAGGTGAAGAATCTTTCTAGTGGTGGCATCCTTTTAGAGGGTTAACATATATAGTTTTGAAGATGAAGGCCAAAATTCATGAATTTCAATATGTAAATATTAAATCATATGTCCTCATTTACTCATTTGCCTACAAGTTGATTATAGAGAGAAACTAGTTTAGATAGAGAAAATCTCAACTTCATGAGTCCTTTGAACATTGAAGGAAAGTTGCTTGGATTATCGATATGATTCAATTTTATTTTATTTATAATCATAAAATGCTTGTCTATATGTGTGTTAAGAATTGATGAGGTACACTTGTGAGGTTTGCCTAGCATTTTGATATTTGATGTAAAAATGTATTGGTTCAACCCAATATTTTTTGTGTATAAAACTATTTAAAGATTTATTATTGTATGAGAACTAATATCACAATATGTTGATTAAATATTCCAATATAGTTGGTTTATGATGGAGTTTGTAAAATCAAACAGAAGAATTGAATAAGAATTCAAAGACTGTTTCAGTAATCAATTTAAATAAGACTGATTGCTCTCCAGACAATTGGCTTGGACGGATTAATTATTGGTTGGATTTGGATATCCAAAGTATTGGGCTGTTTCTCATCCGTTTATTATTTTAGTTAGGAAAAAAAAGTGACAATGCAAAGAATAAAAGAAAAAGAAGATAACAAATATCAATATCAACTAATATAAGATAAATCAAGTAATATCCAAACATTTTTATTATCCTAATAAACTTGTAAAATAATTGAAGTAGAAATTAAGGGTGAAAATCACCCCTAATTTACAAGTTCCATAGTGCAACAACTTGAATAAGATTGTGGAATGTTGGAGTGAACATTCATTCTGTGGTTCTAAATAGAAAACAAGGTATAAAACCTTTAACTTAAGAAAAGCTTGCAATTGCAAATACATACAAAAGAATCTAAAGAATAACTATAGCTAATAGGGAACCAAACCACCTCTGAGTAAGTTTGTTTAGGGGTAGGTGGCTTGAAAAAGTGTGTATCAAATCAATCATCTTCTTCACCAACAGAAGCAAATGAAAAGGGATCGAATTTGTAGCCATCTCCCTCATAAAACTTGTTCTGGAATTCAACCCAGTGAAGCCTCAAAGCATGCAAGAAAGCACTCAAAGTTTCCATCACAAGCAGCACACCCACAGTTGCAAAAACAAATACGATTATGCCAATTATAAGTATAACCACACTGTTATATCTGCACTCACAAATCATTATTTCCTTTATCACACATCACAAATATAACAACACTGTATTTATTGTATAAATAAATGACTTACCCCCAGGCAAGAAGGAGGACCTTTTCGTAAAATACACTGGAAAGTTCCGAGTGTGCTAAACTGGTAACAAAAGAAAACAAAAATGTAATTTAGTCTACGTAAGAGTTTATGGGAAGAGAGAGAGAATTTGGTAGGTGACCTTAGAGCCCAGAGACGAAGATAAGAGGCTGTGTTAGACACTGAGCCAAGAACAAATTCAATGGTATGAATTAATTGATGCACCAATACTTCACTGAACTCAAACTCCTCATGCCCACCATGGGATTCGTATGTCTCTGATTCAATATTTTCATCAAGGCTGTGAAGTGGTGCATAGGTTTGACCTTGGTGTCTCTGGTAAACAAGGTCAACATGAATCCTAATGCAAACAAAAAAAGAAAAAGAAAATTGGAGAAAGAATTGGGATTTTACTTACTTCCTCGTATTGCTTCTTCAATAGAAGTGGCTTGGGGATCAACATCCATGGTACAGCAACAAGTGCTGACAAAAGTAGTAGTATCTAGCAGTACGATTTCAGTTATTTATGAATTATGATTTCATTTATAAAAAAAATAATGAAGCTAATAAATAAGAGATAATGAAACCTGAAGATATTTTTGGCCCCAAAAAAGCTGATTTTCTCCTAAATCATCCATGGGACTAAGGAACATGTATATCAGTATATGGTATAAATCAGCTTGTGAACCAGTGCACCATTTCACAATGATGAGCAAAGAAAGGTAGCCGAATAAACTGTTTAAAAATATCATCTGGGGAACAAATTGGTACCTGAAAATCATATCCATGCTTGGTAACCTCAACATATGAGAAGGGCATTTATGTCTTTTACACAGTAATAGCCAAGACATTTCGATGATGGAAGATTCGGAGGGCATTTATGTCTTTTGCACAGACAAAATCGAAGCGAGTCCTTGTCCCACCTTTTTTGGGTGGGACAAAAAAAATTGCAATTTTGTGTCAACATCTGACAGGTATCAATATGCTTCAATCACAAATATCTTACCAGATATTAATATCATTTTTGAAAAACTTAGCATTGTAGTAGCTCAAAATAATTCCAAGATTCATCTGAGCAACTCCGAGTAAAATCGACATTTTCATTTTCAGGGAGTTAAGAAACGGTAATTCACTTCGTGTTCCATGCCAAATAGGATCCACACCAAACGGGTAAGTTTCCCGGACCTTAATCATTCCAATGGTAGTAGCATCCCTAAAATTGAACTCAAATGTTTAAAAAATAAAGTGGTAAAGAAAAAAGTTTAATAATATATTTAAAAAGAAAAAAGGATTTCATATTCCATACTTGCAGGAAGGATCACGACAATCATAAGCAGAGCGCCCAAAAAGTTCAAATGGCACAGAGAAAAACTCGTTATAAATAAATCCAGTGTAAATTGAGAAAATCGACATCATTATGATGACATAACGACCACCAAATGCCATTTCCATTATGTCTCCTAGTTTCTGTTAGTTACCCATAGAAAAAAATATATATATTAATATAATACAATAAAAGAAAATGCTACGCGGGTGTTTTTTTTTTTTTTCAAAAAGAAATTAATATTACCTGACTAGAATATTTCCTTTCCCTTATAATAAGAAATAGTGTTGCGAGAAATAAGCATATTCCATGTCCCCAGTCTCCAAACATAACAGCAAATAGGAAAGGGAATGTAACAATTGTGTATAGACCAGGGTTTGCTTCTCGATATTTTGCGACCCTAAAAAGTGTAAAGGATTACTTTATAATTTAAATTAAATGCAAGAATAAAAACCGAAAATAATATAATATATCACAGATACTTACCCATAAGCATCTACTATCTCTTGAAAGGCAGAAGTAAATTTATTTGTGCGAAAATATGTGGGGGGTGATTCCTTAGCATGCAGAATCTCCAATATAGCTCCAACCTGTGAGTTACTATCAATTGTTGCCTTTTGTAAAGCATTTTGGATCTGCAAAAATAAGCATCCCAAAATCATTTAATGTTCTTTAAAAGTTATAAGTATCATGAGTTGAAGAATATTATTGATGGAAATAAGGCGAAATACCTGACTTGTAGCAAAAACAGGACACCAGCCTTCTGCCACAAGGCACTTTTTTGTCACATCAAAACTGAGAGTATTCAAAGTGTGGTAAATGGATTTTTCTTTCTTGACCTTCATCAGTTGAAAACACAAGTTAAGAAGAGATAATTTCTAGAAGATTCTAGAAGGCCAAGGATGAAGACGAATAGACTCCAGTGAAACACTGAAACTTACCAAATTGTTCCACTGATCAAATTGATTAGCAATAGACTGTACCACACTACTCCAGTGTAAAATTCCAACATCAATGGTGGTTTTTAGCTCTGAAAGTTTTCCAGATACCTAAAGGTTCAAACTTACATTGTTCAGATTACAAGCTATTTTATATACTTTCATATACTCATAAGAAGCTTCTTAGTTTTATGCACATACCTCAGTAATCATTTGTTGTCGTTTTCCTATATCATCTGTAAAGGGATAACGATTTGCTCCAAATGCATCACATATCTTCAAAACCTTGTTTTTTGCCCTTTCTCCAGAATAAAATACCACAAAAACATTCTTCTCCACCTATAAAATAAAGTATTAGTACTGGTTTTAACTTTCAGAAGCAATTTAAGTTTACAAAAATGTTAATGTTATATAAATTTTATTGATAACCTTCTCTCCTTGCACAGGATCACAAACAGGTTCTTGAACAACATCTTGCTTCAAGAAAACATTACCCCTGGTTGCACGAAATAGGATCCTTTCAAAGGCCATTGATTTATCTCTTGGGACAAGACCACTTACAAATCCAAGCTTAACTTGCTTTGAAATATCAGTAGTCATTTCCTACAAATATGAAAATTAGAAGGATGGGATGTTATGAAACAATGAAATATAATATAGATATAATGCAACAGAAACCAACATGAAGCATGAAATAAAAATGAGTACTTGTTCTAATAAGAGAGGACTGTCCATTGATCCTTCAACAAGGCGATCTCCATATTCTCTCTGTTGAGATGTAGCACTGCTTTGAGCACGATGGAAAAACTCACTAGCCTGAAATAAAGAAAGCAACATTCTTTAGTTTTAAAGCATTGATAATAATAATAATAATGGATAGATGATAATATCAATTTGTATCATCACCTTCTGCAAGACAAGCTTATATTCCAGAAGTTCATTATAGGCACGCTGCAATTTTTCAGTGTTGGCATTCATTTCTGTCAGTTCAGCTTCAAGTTCTCCAAGTTTCACCTACAAAAATCATCCCCAATATATGTTAAATGGAGCTATAACCTGATAAGTATTAATGGATGTTAGTGATTTCACTTACCTCTAATTCGTCTAGACTATACTCTGAACCATATGAAGGCCATGATGAGGCAAAAAGACCAGCCTTCATCATCTGATCCTTGAAAAAACGTAGCCTGCGAGCCATCTCCCCAGACCTTTTAATCTATATCAAGAAAGTTTATAGAATGAAACAAATAAAAGTCATCTCAATCAGGAGCCAAAAAGAGAAAATCACATCATGCAGGTATAGTGAAAATGACTGGTCATTGATAATTGAGGTGACAGACAATGAACATACCTGAGTGGCGAATGTCCTCTGGAAAGGGCTTTTTCCTGTGTTGAGCTATCCACATAACAAGAATAAAGAAAAGGAAATTATCAAACGGAAGATCCAGACACGAATCTTAACTAGAGAAGATTTTCAAAAAACTGAAATGTATATAATTTTGGTTGGATTTGATGCATAAACACTGTTAGCAATACAATCTCGAAGATACATTAAATGAGACATATGTAGCATAATGGATCATGCATCAACGTATTCGTAAAAGTAATTATTAAGTAAAAACGAGCAGTCTATAATGATTTAAACACCACATCAGAAAGGAGAGGAGGAGATCATATCGCTTCAGTCGATATAAAGCACAGACTGGTTAATTATATAAACCTAAACGAGTTCCTAAGCTCCAAACGATTTCCGAAAACTGAAATAATCATAATGCCGATTAATTTGATAGATAAACAGGTAAAATCGACAAATTGTTATCGTCGTAATTATAATCATGTATAACGATGAGAGGTGTAGTGGCATACATCTTTAAACTGGAAAAGCCCCAGGTCACCGAGGTACGAAATGGTTCGATGAGCAGATTCCATGGGGATTATGATCCGAGCTAACTGCATTGGCTCTGATCGCATCAGATCCATCGTCGGCAGACTTCCACCTTCCCCCATTCCGATCGATTGGTCGTCTCAAGCTAAACGAATCCTAAGAACGTTTGATTACCATCAGCTTTTACCCTCCGGCGGTGATAATTTGATTGAGCAATTCCACCGACACGGTGGATTCGGTGATCTTTCTTAATTCCTCATCAATGGCTGCTTTTACGCAACTTAACGAACCTTCTTCCCTATGTTGGTAAGACGTGCTAAACGATAGCGTTTTGATCCCGTGTTGAAGCTGCCACTTTTCTCTATATTCCTTTGACGTTGACATTTGGTACGCAAAGGGGCCTATCTGTGAGTATAGTTTGATGAGAAACGTTCATAAATAGACGAAATAGCAAAATGGTCCTTTGGGTTTGTCATTTGCTTTGACTAACGTCCAAACTTTGAAAAACTTGCGGATACGTTCCTTTTAGACTTGTTTGATTGTGGATTGATCGGCATCGGACTTGAAATGTCTATTTTTTCTGTTATGTTTAAATTTCGTTTCATCTATTTTTGCATAATTAATATATATATATATATATATATATATATATATATATATATATATATATATATATATGAAGTTTACGAATAGTAAACTGGGTATTTTTTTTAGTAGAAATGGTCACTGCATTTTGCTGTTCATTCTTTATCTATTTTGATATTTTTGGTCCTTGCAATCAATATATTTTACACTTTTTATGAACCTTTTAATATTTAAAGTTTGGTCACAAAACTTTAACGGTTTGAAAACTTTGATCAATTTTCTAAAAATTTGTTAATTTCTGCCTCTTTAATTCTTTAACCGTTTTGAAACTTCTGATCCTTGCAATCAAAACTTTTACATTTTTTCATAAAAACATGAAAAAAAAACGGTCCGGAGAAAATTTCGGGCTTTTCATCCTTGCACTTTCTACGTCTGTCATGTTTATCGATTCGAAAATAATATTGAAGCTTCTGGCCCCCGCGTAGCGGGGGTAACCTTTCTAGTTCTTAAATAAAATTACTCACGCCACTTCCACTTCATCTTTTTCATCTCTTATTTTTCTATACAAGTTTGCCCTTATATCACTCTTTCTTTATGTGTAAATACACCGCCACATATATTTAAAAGTGAAAAACACAAAAATAAAACATTGTTAAAATCTGATTTTGGATGTTATACAAATTTAAACCTAGAAATCTAACATAAATTTAATTGGAGATGTCATTTAGATGCAAACAAAGCAACAATAATTTAATTATGACAAAACATGGTCTCTATGGTATGTATTTTTTTTGTCCAAACCATGACATTTTGAATCGGTGGTCCTTTTGAGCTAATTTATTTGAGGTTTTGGCCCATCTGAAAACTAAAAAGACTAAAATATCATTCAGGTATAATTTTTATGTTTTTTTTCTATTTAATTTAAAGTTTTATTACTAAAAAACATCTCTCTCTCTCTCTCCCCCCTATCCTAAAAAGAACACACACACAGTTAATACTTGGGCTTTAAAAACGTTTTTCTTATTGTGTTTATGTTTTAGTGAAATAATCAATTTCACCACCATCAATCGAACCCACAACCCAATTGGGTACTCAAGCAAAAAACATTAATCCTTCAACAATGTCTATACAATCGGAAGCAAATTAGGACAGGTGCAGTTTTGTACAACCCATCTATACACACAGAAATTGCAACATTCATAAAATTAATGAAAATTTGAAACTTTTAAAACAACCCAAAACCATCATTGTTTACAAATAGTTTTCAAAACATGTTTAATATCAGAGTAATCCCAAAATCATGAAACAAAACATTAAGAGGTACACGATCACGCCTACGCCTTCGCCTTCCCGTTATCCTCTGAGGTACCTGAAACATAATCTAAAACTGTAAGCCCAAAGCTTAGTGAGTTCCCCTAAAATACCAATACACAAATAATTAGCACAAATATAATAATAACTTACAATGGGTCCATAGCTAACAAGCAAGATTACCCCTGAGCCCACAACATAAGTCTGGTTTGCCCCCTGGGCCCACGGCTTATGTCTGGCTTGCTCCCCGGCTTGATCAGTCCTCGGACTGAATACCACTAACGCTCAATGCGAGTCTGACATGCCATTCCCGACCCTCAGCTCGTATCTGGAATGCTCATGAGCCCTTAGTATGAGTTTAGCATGCCCTCACCGGCCCTCAGCTCATATTTGTTTTGCTCCATGGTTTGTTGGCTACAGCACGGAACAGTACAACTGTTGGGCGTGTCAAACCCAACAAATAAAGGGTACAAATGAATCCTTAAACACTACTACTATGCACTAATAATGTAGTACAAGGTAAGTAGGGTCGATCCACAGAGACACGGGACAAGTGTTTATACATTTTTGCGTAAGGTACAAAAATGGTCACAGAATGGGGGGAATTTATAAGCAATGATTTAAACTATAGAATAAAGCAATAAGTAAATGATTGATTTATGAAGTAGATTCAAGATTTGTAAGGACTCCAACTCCATGCAAGACAAATTAGCAATGTGATTCCAATGGTGAAATGATATTTGTTCAGTTCTATCTAAATTGGTACATGGAAATGCTAACAAGATCTAGCACCTCCCATTCACCACATTGATTAACCAAAATAATCTCTTTGATTAATCCTAACCTTACCAATCTAATCTAAACAAGTTCTTAGAATTAGGTTGAAAGATTGCATTAAACTTTATGTGAATGTTCCCAATAACACTCAATACTCCACATAAGCTAGGGAGCATAAGAATATGTGAATAAGATTTACACTAAATTCATTCAATAGAAATCAGTTTAGTGCTTGTTACCTAGTCCAATTTACAAAACAATTACGGATTTTGCAATTAGATAACTTGAATGATCTAACCCTAATTCAAATGGCCAATAAGAATCACAATTAGAATCAAACATTCGATTGAAACAAAATCAAATTCACTAGATAGAAAATTGAAAGAAAACATCAAGTCATAAGATTGAAATCACAACTAGAAGTCAAAACATAAAGTTGGAGAATCTAGGGTTCTAGCCACTCATGACTAGAACAAGATCACAAATCTAGAAAATGAAATTAAAGTTCTTACAAAATGAAATCAAATGTTCCCAATTGTTAATTGATGGGTTTTTGCCATAAGAACATCCTATGTGCTCATACAAACCCTAATGCTTGGATCTAGGTTTCTCTATTGTACATGCAATTAATCCAAGACTATAAACCCTAATTCTAGCATATGATAATCAATATTAACATAATAATGGGTTTAAGATATTACCTTGATTGTTATGTAGTAATAACAATCACAATTCCTTCTTGTAATGACTTTAGAAAGCTTAGAGTCACAAATGTCATTCCTCTAATGGTTCACAAACACCAAGAGCAAGAGGATGAAGAATAGAAGAGAAGGAGGCTGCCCAAAAATGTCCAAAACCCTAGAAGGAAGCTAGTACACGTTTTTGAGGCATAAGGGTTCTATATATAGTGAGGCTATTAGCGTTATCTAACAAGGAAACCCTAATTTAGATGCTTAAGCCCTAAGCAACCCATGGACTCCTTTAATTAAAAGCCTTGGACGATTTCTTATGGGTTTCCCCATAGAATTCGTCCAACCTTATAATGTAAGGTAATCCATTGCCCAATTGCAATTATCTTATAATTACAATTCCAGTCCCTTAAGTTTAATTAATCTCTTTTAGTCACAAACTTAATTCTTATTAATTCTTGACTAATATTAATTAAACAATATGATTTCTCCTTTAATATATTATTCCCATAATATATTAATAAATCATATTTAATCCTTTCTCTCCATAATTCATCCTATCAAGTTGCTTTGGTGAAGGCAACCCAAAAGGACCATGCACCATCGGGTCAAGTACATACCAAAATAGTTATGGACTTAGACACTAATCCAACAGTCTCCCACTTGGATAAGTCTAATAACTATTTTGCGTATGACTTCAGATCTTGATCTGCAATCGTAGCTTTCCAAAGCTGCTGTCAACTCTGATCCTATCAGATACGCGTGTCCTTTATATAAGGGATCATATATTCCTCCATTTTAGATATCGTGAGACATGAATTCTAATCATTCTCTCTATACTATTTCCTGACTTCCGATTTATGATGACTGACTAATTGAACAAATCAAATTAGCCCTAGCCCGGCCGAGCATTTACATTTGTCATCACTAAACATCGAGGGGCCCAAAAATATCGCTTTTATCCGTATTTAGATAAAAGGAACGGATAAACTTTGATTCAATGCTCGCTTGCACTCACTTACCAAATCACACACAACAATATGTTTTATAACACCAAGTTACTAGTGTGTTTACATATTATCAATGTGTAACCGACTCGCAAGATACAACTCACACATCTCGGTTTTAAGAATATAAGATGTTATCGTCTCACCAATCACTCGTGATAAAATCCATGAAGTGATCCAAGTGAGCGTGAGTTTAATTCAATGCTCAAATCATATTCATAAGCACTCATGAACGTTGCAGTAAACATTTGCTTATGTCTAATACTCTTTTAGACAATCCACACACCAATTCATGACAGTCTTCATTCATACCTACTTCCAACATATGAACGACTGTGGCCCGTTCGAATAATTTGACTGTTCTAAACCAATTAAATTATTCAGGAAGTCAAAACATGCAAAGTAAAACACAAGGATAATACTAATCTCATATGGCCTCAAACCTTTGAGTATAAATAAAACACCTTTTATTTATCACCATATCGATTACTCATTATCTGTTGTTTCGGGTAATCAACTTTTTACTTGAATTATTACAACACTTGTCCCATGCTCTTAGCATGCACACAATGTTTACCTATGTTTCTTACTTTGTGAAATAGATCAAATGAATACATTTCCAATCATACTCATTTCACAACTCCTAATCCTTTCCACAAGTGATAGAATATCAAATTCTTGCCACTTATAGAATATGTTAGATTCTAACATTTTATGCAATGATCCTTTCGTAATCACTAGTACTAGAAAACAGACCTTTAATGACGCGCTTTTTACGACACGCACTGATTAATGATACGCAAAAGGACGTGCCCTTAAAATAGTGTTATCTCTCCAAAAAAAAATTAAGGATTTACGTCACGCATTATTGCGTGCCCTTAATTTAGTGTCTCAAGAAAAACAAATAAAAACACGGAGGGCACTTTATCTTAAACGCGTGTCGTCTGTACCTGTCTCTTTATAATTTTAGTGGAACGCACTTTTAGTAGACAAGGGGGGAAACGAAATCCCCAAAATTTTGAAAACCCGCCTTGTTTTTTCTATCTTCTATCTATATTTCATCCTTGCAATCCACTCTCCCCTCTCTAATAATCTCTCCTCTAGATCTCTCTTCTATCTATCTTTCATCCTTGTTTTTTCTATCTTCTATCTATCTTTCAATATTTCTCCATTTCGTATTTTTGGAGCTCAGCACCAGCCAGGCACCACCCAAGCACCAGCCATACAGAGGTCAACGGTGGCAAATATTCTTTTTTCTCCACCATTTTCTCCCTCTCAAACGTCTTTATTTCCGTAATTGTTATCGTAAGTGTGAAAATCTCTAACTTATAGCTTTAATTTAAACTTTAAGTTGTTCTAGGGTTATATTGAACCATAGTAAGAACGCGTACTGGATATGGAATACGATTTCATACCGAACGCTTGGGAACACATCTTGGATGATCCAACGATTTTAAAATTGAACCGACCTTACCTTTATTCGTGTATCTAGAACATAGGAACGATGATTTGGATCGACGATTGAAGTTTGGGAACACCGATTAAAGTTTTGGAATGCTGACTTGAACAACATTTGTGCGTTGGGTGCGTAGACTCAATATATGGTAACAAAATCTCACATTTTCCAGCAATTAATTGTGTATATCTTAATTGTAAGGGGTAGCGATCACTTTATAGAACCATATACACGATTTCAATTCATTAATTTTAGTCAATTTTATTATATTAAGTTGGTTCTAAACTTCTAACATCGTGCGTTGGGTACATCTTACTGAATTAACCTCCTACCTCTATGTATTCTGTATAAACTTTACTACTCTTCAATATGAATTGAAGAATTTTTTTGTTAAACTCAGACCATGGATAAGCTGGGGAAAGCAAACGAAGTAGTGAAAGTTACTCTTGGACATTTCCTCAACCATGATGCCCTAATTGCTTGCAGTTCCAAATATTGAAAAGTTTGCTTATCTTATTAGTGAACAGAGGAAGGTTTCCATCTTTCTGAATTTCTCTTTCATAAACATATCTCAACAATGCTAATCTTTTTATCTATTTTCAACCAGATACTTCAACCAAAAGAAGTTGAAGAGGTGAAGGTAGTTCCAAAGATCGAAGAAGACACCATGAAAGAATACAGAACAACAACTAGACGACATGAAAATGCTAAACTGGTTTGTAAATTGCAATTCAATTATCCATCTTCCATCTTCCATGTTGGACAGTTTTTGATGTTTACTCGATGTAGTTCTAAGTATAGAGATGAATACAGGGGCTACAAGAGGAGAAGACGCAACAGAAGCAGGGACAAATATTATGGAAGGGACAGAGAAAGTAGAACCCGCAGTAGGAGTAGGAACCTTGATTATCATAAAAGAAATAGGTGGGGGAGGCATGATGGTGAGAGAAGCCTAAGTTGGTCTCCTGTAAGGTAAAAAGACATAAATGCCCTTATCATTGAAAATAACCCTAGAAAGTTTTTTTTTTCAGTTTTTGTTTAAAGTTGATCTTTTGTTTTAAATACATGAAAGTGAGAATCATAATTATTTATCGATCATAAAAGCTTTGAACCATTTGAACGAATAGAATGTTGTAGCTTTGAACCACTTGAGCACCACAATTCACTTATAATATGTCATTACAACATATCGCTTAATCCATAGACATTGGCTCTAAAATATGTACAAATATCCCTTTACTTTCGCCCCAGTCCCAAAAATGCGACATTTTCTCTCTTATTTCAGTTGAAATTTACATCTTAACTCATGTGCAATCTTGAGAAGATATCTATTACATTTATTTCGTCCCACAAAGTCTCTTATTCAACTGTGTGTACACCTTGTAATAATGTGGCTTAATATTTGACAGCCAACTCCTATTTGTTTCTTCAATGATATTATTTTCCAAGATATGTGGATGGTCTCTGTCCAGTTCTGTTATTTTGTTTGACACTCATGATAACCTTGTTCATGAAGCTACTAACAGCAGGGTTGCTTCTGTGACATGCCAATATTTCTCATCTTACTTCTCTGTTGTCTTATTTGCTAGTATGTCTGTTCTTATACATATTTTTTTTTCGTGCAGGTTATAAGCCCCGAGCTTACGTTCTATAATTCATCAAAATATGTAGGAGAGTCTTCTCTCTTCACAAATAAGTTTTTGCATGCAAGATTAAATGCCTTCTACAGGTCTCTCTTTCTTGCCTTCATGAATTTTGTTGATTAAATTTCACAGGTGCCTTAAATTTGTATTTGTTCCTTTTCATACTAAAGCTAGTGTTGCATGTTACTGGATGATTAGGGTATTGTAAAAATGCTTATAAATTTGTTCCTTTCTCTGGTATATAGGTACTGGAACTCAAACATGATTTTGCGATAGTCCATTAATCATTTTTCTTATTGTTTTCTATCCCTAAATGAATGTCTGTCTTCTATATACGGTTAAACATAAATTTTGTCTTGTTGATTATTTTCTCATTCCATTTTGTGTGTGTTAGTTTGTATGTGGTGGATGGGTCCAAAACCTGGCTCCCTAGAAACCTATATCCAATATATTCTAAACTGAAGGAAAGAGGCCAGTACTTTCTGAGAGAAATCTAAAAGGAGTAGGTTAATTCTTATGGTTGGGTGAGGGATCGCTGAATATTTTGAGAGAGAGATAGAATGATTCTTTTATAAATAACTTTTTGTTATGTTTCATGTTTATAAGCTGGAGGTTAAGGGTTTTGTTCTAGATTTATGATTTACTTTCTGAGAGAAATTTGAAAGGAGTAGTCCTCTATCTGTTGGAATAGTGTCTAAGGCTGCAACTATATTAGGCAAGTATTTGATCCGGTTGTGCATGGTCCTTTTGGGTTGCCTTCACCATAGCAACTTGATGGATGATTTGTTAAGAGAGAGTAAATATTATAAGGAATAATATATGGTTATTTGATTAATATAAGTCATAAATTAATTGGAATTAATTTGGTGACTTAAAGAGATTAATTAAATAAGAGGGTATAAACTGTCAATTGTTTGATAGTTAAACTTTAGACTATAAATCCATTGGGATATGCTTTGGACGAATTCTATGAGATATAGGATAGCTAAAATCGTCCAAAGGTTTATCTATGGAATGGATTTGGATAGCCTTAAGAGAAGATTATCCAGTTAGGGTTTAGGTTGTAACCCTTAAGGAGTCTACAAGTATAAATAGACCCTAGGGGTGAGGGAATTCGACACACCATCTAAAGTAGAGATACTCTGGCCGAATTCCTCCCCTCTCCTCTCTCCTAAATCATCTTGCTTGCTATTGGTGTTTGTAAGCCATTAGAGGAGTGACATTTGTGACTCTAGAAGCTCCAAGACAACAAGATCAACAAGGAATCCAAAGGTATGATTCTAGATCTATTTCAATGTTGTTATTTAACCTAATTAGCCATTAGAAGTCTTGGATTCAAAGCATGTTTAATTAGAAAGCCTAGATCCAAGCATTAGGGTTTTGCATGCGCACATAGGAAAGTTCTTATGGCTAAAACCCATCAGTGGTATCAGAGCCTAGCTTGGTTTTCTTTAAATTGTTGCTTGATTAACTGAAACAAACCTGCAAAATTCGATTTTGGGTTTATGAGTCATGGACTCGGCGAGTTCCAAAGTGGACTCGGCGAGTAGGCCTGTACTCGGCGAGTCCGGGCGTCTGGATTAGGCAAAACCGGGATTTTTTCATGTTTATCTTATGGAAACTTACCTTAATCATATTAGATCAACCCTAATCCGTTTTTTGATATATATGACTATAATCTTGATCTAATTAAAGATATTTATCATCTAATAAAATATTTAATTTCCTTATGTGATAAATGATTAATTATTTTGATAATTATCTTAAAAGAAATCTTGGATAAATCAAATAAAGATAATTAGGATATTAATTGTTAATTGGAATTATTTGTTATTTGATCCTTCATGTTTTAAATGTTTAAAACCTACCCTAAAGTTTTGAAATTTATATTTGTGATTAAAAGTTTTAATTTAGACAACTTAAATTTCAAACCCTAGATTTTAAAAGTTTTAAAATACAACCCTATACTAATATGATATTACTAGAATAATATATATATGTATAACTAAATGCTAGTCTTACCGTTAGTAGGCCTCATTCACGAAGCCGATCTATAAGGTGGGTATAAGGTTGCGGCCTATAAAATGGCGCTTAATGGGTGTACACTCACACCCACCGCTTGCTTGATTGGTGGAGGGTCGTTAGCCGAACGGGTAGGATAGGGCAACCTCATCTTCTCATTAAAAGTATAATAAGAAATACAAAGTAACTACACGTTTTAAAAATTTCCCAATCTTAGTTACTTTAGGAAAAGTGAATTGATGCAATCCCATGAAATTACACTTTGCACCTTGCTAAGAAGTTAGTGGAGCGTGTGTGGTTTACCGGCACACTAATTGGTTCTAAGCGAAGGTGGCAAAGGGTGATTCATTGTTTATCATAGTTCGATGGAGCGTGTGTGGTTTACCGGCACATCGAATAGGTGATCGTTACAATGAAGGCACCATGTGAATTTGCATGGTAATTCACACCCGCTTTGTGATCCTCGGCATCCCAGTCACAAACAAGAGGGGCATATCGAGATTTAAACATGCCATTGAATAGTTTCAATGAATCTCATCCGAACCTAGGAATTCTCAAAAACACTTAGGACTAATAGTTTAAGTTTTGTAATGGAGAATTAGTGAATCGTCATTCACTTACCTTCAATTTATTTGCATGTTAGATTACGGCATCCCTTTTCTAGTATGTAAATGTTATTGTTGGATCCTAGCCCTAATTTTCTTATTGGGTGATAATTAGGGATTCTTATTCTAATCTATCTTTGTCCTTTTTCTAATTGAAGATGTCGAACGCAAACAACGCTGCTGCTAGTTCTTTCACGTTGATGAGCCTTTGCCAAAAGGTCACCTTCGATGGAACGAACTTTAGCGAATGGATAAGATACATTCGCACCATTGCTCGCTATGAGGATAAAGAGTATGTCCTCGATGAGAAGCTCGAGAAAATCAACCCCGAAGTTGCTACTCCCGAAGAAATCACCGCCTTTGAAACTCATGAGCGAGATGCAACGAAGGTACATTGCATCATGATCGCCACCATGAACTCCGAATTCCAAAAGTCCTACGAGGACATGTATCCATACGAGATGCATCAAGACTTGTTGGAGAGATACCACCAAAACGCGAGACAAGAGCGTTACGAGATTTTCACTAACATGATCTCCGCTAAGATGGGTCATGGAGAATCTCTTACCGTGCACCTGCAAAAGATGCAAAGGTATGTCGACCGCCTTCGCAAGTTAAATGTTGACTTCGGTGAAGACTTGGCGATCGACATGGTGCTTCACTCTTTGCCTCCAATGTACAACCAATTTAGGATGACCTACCACATGAACAAAGAAGAGGTCACCCTAAGCAAACTCCAAGGTCTCTTGAGGGTCGCTGAGAGCAACTTCAAGGACAAGTCTGTTGCACCTACTCCCAATCCGTCCTGCTCCTGTCTTGGCTATTGGTCAAGGGAAGGGAAAGAAGAGGAAAGCTTCATCGAATAACTATCGCAAGGTGAAAGCCCGAGATGGTGCCTCTTCTAGTGGGACCAAAGTTGATCCCGCTAAGCCCTGCTCCAACCCAAAGGAGGCAGAGTGCCACCACTGCCACAAGATAGGACATTGGAAGAGAAGCTGCCCGGATTACCTGCAAGCGATCAAAGAAGGAAAGATCAAGCCATCTTTCGCAGGTATATACACAATCAAATCTAACGATTCTAATCATGCTATTTCTTGGGTTCTTGATACCGGTTGTGGTTATCACATTTGTTCTAATGTGCAGGGACTAAGAAGAAGTAGGGATGTAGAGCAAGGAAGGATCAATCTAATCATGGGGAACAGAAGATCGTCGCCTGTGACCAAGATTGGAGTGTATTCTTTAGTGCTTAGGAATAGTTTGGTTTTAGATTTGAACAATTGTTGCTATTCGCCAGAAATGGCTAGAAACATCATTTCATTTCATGGTTTATATAGACAAGGATTTAGATTTTCTTTTAATAATGAGAATGGTTCTATTTTGGCTTATCTAAATGGTGTCTTTTACTTTGAAGCTATACCATGTAATGGAATATATGAAACTGTTATGATTGTTGATAACTTAGGAAATGATGTTTTGAATATTGATTCTTCCACTAGTATGGATAAAGCATCCTTGTGGCATTGTCGTCTTGGACATGTCAACAAGAAACGCATAGCACAACTCCAAAAGGATGGAGTGTTGGAGTCATTCGACCTTAGGGAAGATGACACATGCGAGTCTTGTTTACTTGGAAAGATGACTAAGTCACCCTTCACGAGTACTTGTGAAAGGGGTGAGGGGCTATTGGACCTAATACATACCGATGT